GTAATTGATCTGCGGACAGAGAGAGACGTATTGTTGAGTTGAGCACGTGAGACGTTCATTGTGAATTATAGCGTTTCTTATAGCGCGACTGTGGAAATTAAGTGTATTACAAAGTTGTATTCAGAAAGAATAAATCAGTTTTATTTAAGAAAGGACTTGTATCGCTAAAGTTTCACCGGAAAGAATTTTTTACGGAAAATTAACTAACGACCAGAGACGTAACAATATAAATGACGAACTCGCCCAATATCACAGAAAATAATCTAAATAATATAAATGACGAACTCGCCTAATATCATAGAAAATAATCCAAATAATATAAATGACGAACTCGCCTAATATCACAGAAAAGAATACAAATGATATAAATTCCGAACTTGTCCAACACGACAGCAAAAAATCGAAGTGATATAAAATTATAAATGATGAACCAAGCCGAATTAACAAGCAGATTGAGCATCACGATCTTAAAGAGACGACAACCGACACCGCCATAGTCACACCAATGATTCTCTGACTACGTTCTACTTATCTTACATCTACTCTAAATTATAGGTTTGTGCAAGACGTTGTTCTCTTTGTAGGATCTACATTTATCGAGTTCACAAGTGGTATTTTGAATGTAACTAGTATGCTATTTCTCTCTCTCTCTCTCTGAGTAAAAAAAAATCCAGTGCTTGAATGACAAACCCACCCGAGAAAATATTTTCAGGTGAAGATTCCTTACAGATATGCTGCTGAAAACTTATGACGCATAAACGTAACTTAAATCTCACCTCAAACGTGTGACGCTGCGGCCCTAGCTTTCTTTAAAACAGCTATGACCTCATTCATTAGTTTTTCGCCTATTTGGTTGCATGCTACTACAAAAGAACGTACAAATCGTTGACTACCGAAAAAATAACTCAGCTTGCCGCCTATTGGTTGCGTGTTTTTACAAAAGAACGTACATGTAAATTGTGGACTAACAAAAAATAAAAGTTAGCCATTTCAGTCGTATCATTGGCCTAACATTACTAAGATAAGATTTACTCTTTTATTAATCGTTGATTAGTCTCCGAAAACTGGTTGAATAACCATTTTTTTTTAATTTTCCACTTTTTTCAAGTCTTCTTAGTCTTGTCATTTGGTTACACAATGGGTTATCTGCGCTTTGTCCACTGCGTAGAATCTAACCCCGGTTTTAGTGTTGTTAGTCTATATATTTACTACTGACAAAGGCCCGGCATGGCCAGGTGGTTAAGGCACTCGACTCGCAATCTGAGGGTCGAGGGTCGCGGGTTCGAATCCCCGTCACACCAAACATACTCGCCCTTTCAGCCGTGGGGGCGTTATAATGTGACGGTCAATTCTACTATTCGTTGGTAAAAGAGTAGCCCA